TACTGCTTTTATCACTTTTTACCAGCCTGTACCTTACTGAGCTATAAAGGAGGGAGCTGGTTACTCACAGGTTGCCTGCCAGTCTCTCCCGAAAGAACAGGAAAGCAGGTAGGGCCCGATTTGTTGGTGACGATTGTCACCCGCCTCCCATGTATCTTATAACCACTTGTTTTCAGACTTTTAGCGAAACCATAGAAATGGAGCTATGCCAAAAATCTCTGAATCTATCAACATTTCTGAGAGTGGTTCGCATTTCATTCTTCTGTGCATCACCTATGAACGTGCGTGCCACGTATTTTAGCGACTAACCGGACAGAGATCTCTCTACAAGGATGTGTTGCGATACAAATGTGGGAATTGGTTCCACAGTGTGTTTCAGGCTCATTAAGCTCTCCATCCCTGCGTGTATAACAAAATGGTACCAGACATGTCTGGTAGACCAGAATCGCTAACATTGTGTTGCTGCTTGATCTTTAACATTTAGGATTTTGCGCAAAACTGCTCTGACTGAAAAACCTCAAGATATATAGAATTCACAAGAAACACACCGCTGCACTAGTACGAAATTCCTATTATCATTGACTGGCCTATGTCATGATAGTTAGCGATGATAGAGCACATTATTTCAATTGAACCCCTATGATCCTTGAATACAAAAACGAATGTGCATGGTCGCCGAAAACTGTAAGAGACTGTAACGTGGCGATCGGAATCTTTTCAAAAAAGGAACTAACTTAAGCACTTATACGGCTCACTGATAAAACGTCCTCTCCAATTATAGGATCGAAAAAGCCAAATAGGGCCTCAACGTCGAACAACAAATAAAAATCATTTTTGACTGATTATTAATAACTTTGTCAAAAGATCGACTGTTTTTGAAACCAGAAGAAAAAAACATTCAATATAATTCCAAAAAAAAAAGAATGCTTTAAGCTTAAACGAGGTTGATACGCCAGGCCATACACCGGTGTTTCAGAGGTTTCGGCTTCCTCGTCAGTGACCTCCGCCCCACAGTAAGCCTGCATTGCAACAAGGAGGGAGGCGTAAGTGGTGATGGCACAGTGTACAATGACATTGATCCATCGCCACTTCTCAGTCGATGGTTTTGACTGATAGTATTTTTTTTTGTTCATCAAGATGATGACGAGTGCTAAACTGAAGTATTAGAATTCAAACTACGATTAAAGTGTAGTCCAACATATCTCGATGTCTTGTTAAAGCTATACTGTTTAGTTAATGTCATTCTCGATTTCAATGCTACTTTTTCTCTGCGATAGCTTCGTTTATGAAAGGCAGCGTCCAAATGGCGCACTTCGTATTTTGGACCTGATTCATTGTTAACATCCAAACCTGCGAGTGAAACTTACAAATTAATGCAAAACGCAGGCAGCTGTGAATGTTTATTTATAATTGATACATCTCGGCCAACAGAATTCCAATAATCGAGGTTAAGGCGTTTACAAATATCCAATCTTAGCAACGTTGAGCAAGTTTGTTCATTCAGTAACATGAAATTGCCGAGATAAGAGCTGAGAAATTTGTTAAACACGCTTCTGCTGATCCATTGTCCGAAACATTACCATTCACCTTACTGCTTCCTGATATAAAGAAAATGCTTCGAGATGTCTTAAAACGCCTGTTTTATAAAATCTCATTGTAGAAGTTTAATAGACACTGAAAGGCTTTTCCTAGCCTTTTTTGGGACTTACTCACGTTTCGGCAGTCTCGCCCACGTCGTCACACCCTGGCGTACTAGACCTCGAAGAGAGATAAGGACAGTGTTCCAGTTTACTTTTGATGTTGCCTCTAGCTAATGAGCATTCAGGAGTTGTAGTGAGGAGCACGGGCATACTTTCATTGCGTAATTGGCTCTACTTTTCGAAACATGCTACACTACTTTGATCTGTTGCAGGACCAAGCTTGCCTGTTCTTAGTGTGTTTCTTCGCTCTATTCACGGCATTTGTCTGCAGTGGCATATCACCAGTAGAACAGAGATTACTGTTGTTTTATCCTTTAATTTTGATTTACTCTTTTCTCTCATTTTTTTCACCCCTTCTTCGAATTCACATCATCGCCGGAAGAAAGGTGGGAAAAGATTGGAAATGCGTTATTCAATCAATGATGCAGCTTTTCAATTGAAAAGTAGAGATATCAAGCGCTACTGGAGGTCCTATTTGATAATAATACGCTCATAGAAATTTCTTCAATAGCATCCCGTCTTTTTACTGCAAAAAAGTTTCCTGGAAACAAAGATTTCTTACATTAGAGCCAACCGATTTGTAGTGAAGTTGAAACAGCAGACCAAGTGCTCTGAAGTACTATGAATATCGCTCAGAATACAAGTTTGATTTTGAAATCTTCATTTCTTCAAGCGCCGAATGATTGCAATAACATAGAAGAAATAGAAAAATGTTGAGTAATGTAGAAAATATGTTTTTTTCGCAGCTATATGGTGTTCTCGTTAAAACAGGGAAAAATTTGACACATAGGCATCTTTCTACCAAGATATCCTTGTATAAATCTCCTCAATAACATTTCATCAGCTGATCGATCACGACAATCTGTCCTCCAAACCTAAATACTGTAAAACTCGCAGATTATATTGCCGTGTGGATCCACGCAAACTACTTGGCACGAGGCACGTAATCGGCCCCTGGATGTGAGCCACGCGGTAATCATCGTGTTAAATAGGCACAAATTCACTCTTTGAAACCGATTTTGAAACCTTTTAGATAAGCTCCCCATTCGTAAATCAAACAGTAGTTCTATCACCTGCATCACCTGTTGACCCGTTAATCGGCGGATGATTCGAGCGGGTACCAGCAACACTTCCATTTTTCCCTATCGCGTGCAAGAGTAGCCTAGTGGGTCCTCCTCGCTCTAGAAATTCGCTGAGCATCATATTTTTCTTTCATGCCTTTTGTGAAGAAATCGAACAAAGGGTCGATGGTCTTCCTGTAGAGCGCTTGACCTCCTGTGGAATCCAGCATGGCGTCTCTGATTTTCGATCGTTGGCGTAGGTCGAAACTTCCGATCTTTTCTCTCATTTGCGAGATACGGGATATTCCTAGCATGACCTTTCGACTAAGGGTTCCATTACGCCAAGTGATCTTTCACCCTGCTTACGTAGCGACCAGGTTTCTGTTGCACAAGTTAAGGCAGAGATAATCGTCGAGCCGAAAACGTGGGCGCGGAATCGGATGTTCTTTGCCCTCTTCACTACGTCTTCGATTCTCTTAAGCGTTCCTCAAGTTACTCGTTTCCCCTGCTCAACTTTGGAGCTAAGTCGTTCATCATGTTGATTTCACGGCCTAGATAGATGCAACTAGAGAATTCAGAGGTTTTCGTTCCGTTGAGCGTAAAATCGGGCATTCAAAGCCCATCCGTTCCTCATGAACATCTTTTCCTTATATTTAGTTGAAGACCAATCTTTCCACAGGCGTTATCGAAATCGGTGGTATTATAACATCAAGAAATTGACTCATTTCGCCGCGCCATTACTGAACACGGGTTTTTGAGTTGCTAGAAATTTGAAGGACTAGAAATTGACCGAATTCGCCGTGATTCATCGTCATCGAGACTAACCAATCACAGCATAGCCCACGGCGCATTGAAATGAATATCGGTGTAATACTAAGTTATCAATAAACGCACCGAAAACTAATTCTTGATATTATCATTCTGTTGTCCAGCTCACAAAGCATGGAACGCTTTTACCTGCAACGACAGTACGACTACCAAAATGTCCATGCATCATCTAAAACTCCTTTGACTGCCCTAATGAAGTGGCCCCTTTTCTGAAACATAAATTTTCGCACCTTGCTTTTTTTTCTTAGAATTAAGCAACTGAATGACTGTGCCAAAAAGCTCCATGAGCCGTGCATTTATACGCCTCATTGCACATATAGACTGATGCGGTCACACATATAATTTGCCCGCCAAGCAGGCACTTCTTATAAACGATAGGTCAAGTGTTGACCCATTGGGTGCGACAACGACACGCTTCTTCGTCACGTGCATCGGGCAGTCTGTACTGTCGAGATGGCTGCGCGGCAAGATGGAACTGGCGGCACTTGCAGTACTCAGTAGGTTAGGAAGGGCTTGAGGAGCTTTGAAGAATGGTTTTGAGGAGCCACAATTGCCGTACCCACAGACACTGTAGAATCTCTGCCATACGAAATCTATTTTACGATATGAGGAGCCGAAGCATCATGTGTTTTGCCGATGAAATGTCAGAGGCACAGCGAATTTCAAAGATTGACGCCAGGCCAATAACGCTGTGTTAAAACTAGAGCATATATCTGGCCTTTACATTGGCTCGCGGTTGCCTCATAATGTATGAAGTCAGTGCTGCGATCCTTCCAGAGAGACCTGGTAACACCTGCTAATATCAATAGGATGGAATTAATAGACTTTGGGCACGGGATCGCTTTGTCATCTACGTTTGTGTCACAGGACGCCTCCAACCGTTGCTTGATTAGATTCTAAACCAGCCAACATTATTCACGCAACTAGAGTCAATTATGCAGAAAATTAGTCACTATTCGAGAATTTGGTTAGTGCAAACGGTGTAATGCAACACGACACTTTTGAAAATTATAGGATACATCATTCACTTTTATCACATCATAACCAATACGAGTAAAGGGACGTCTTCAGAAACGCAGCTTAGAACTGAGAGATGGACACAGCATACGCACATAACAAGACAAAGGAGGCTGAGATATCATAAGATATTTAACAATGGTATAAGCGTAACCGCCCTAACATAAGGAAATTCAGTGGAAAAGAACTGAAGCGTACAGCGAACTGACCTTATATCAACAAAAATAATGTTAAATTGGAAAGTTTGGCGACCAGTGTGTACAGCCGCCGACACCCGTACGTTATGACTTTCTCAAATAATTTCTAAGCTCCAAATTCTAGTGTTTTTATTGCGATTTCGCAGTGTTATGATGATTCATGTACACTTAACAGAACTGAGTGATGAGCAAAAAACGACCTCAGACGGGAGTAAAACCTGCGTTTTATCCATACCGGCAACACGTGCTACCACTACACCACTGAGGTACATTCGCACCATCACTCATTCTTCAAAATCGCCATGGTAGCTGTCAGCTATCAAAGCTTAACAGGTTTGGTCGGGTATGCGATACCGCTTTATAAACCCAGTTCAGTTAACAGCTGTCATAGAGATGTTGAAGAATGAGTAATGGTACGAATGTACTTCGGTGGTGTAATGGTAGTTCGCGTCCTCGATATGGATGAAACTCAGGTTCAACTCCCGGCTGACGTCGTATTTTTGCTCACCACTCAGCTCTCTTAGCTGTATATAAAACATCATAAGACTGCAAAAAATGCAGTAGAAACACTAAAAATTCAATACTACTAATCACAGTGACTGTCAGCTCAAAGGGTTTATAAAGCGAAACCGCATACCCGATCAAACATGTTTAATTTTAGTGACTGACAGCTATCAAAGAAATTTTGAAGAATTTCTAAGCTCTCTAAGAACTTTCCTTTGTTTGTGAACAGATGGGTAGGACGTGATCTCAATAAATTGATTACGGGCGTCTTCAATAACTACTGACTAGTAAGTAAATACCGATTTAAATCGAATGATGAACCACATTGCGGTTGGTTGGCTGCCAGAGGGAATACACAATACCTACCGTACTTACTTAGGTCCTTAGATAGTCCGTCTTCACCAGCAGTGCGGACCTCAACACATACTCCAAATGGTATATTGCTGGTTGTGCATATGATAATTCTTGGTTTCATAAAGTAACCTTGCAAAGGCGTTTTCAACTCTTCACGATGTCGTTTCCAAGGAATGGATCTCGGCAATGAATCCTTAGCCGGACATCGTACTTATTGATTCGACTATGATGTTAGGCCGAAATCAAAAGCAAAAGAATTTACAATATCAGCAAATATAATACTGCAGACTCATAAAAAATGTCTAAATATCTCGATCGCTACTACACTTTGACGTACACCACATCGGATAGTTCAGCAGCTATAAAGTCTTGCCACGATCAACCTTTGTTAACCTCACAATCAGTACGTCTAATCGTTGGTGCTCATCGTCACCTCCTTCGTCAATTTTCGATCGATATTCTGTCAAGAGCTGGATGTTGAAATGAAATACTGCCTTATTTGTCAACAACTGTTGCTCTCATTTATGACCTAATTCTCTACTTCGATGAAGTATTATCTTAGAACGTACTGTTAGAAAGACTTTCGAAAATCTTTCCTGCTTCACGGAGAATAACTTGAATGCACGATGGCGGCCTCAGCTTGCATGAGTACAGACGTCTGCCAATATTAACTATAGGTTTTGTAGTGTGCATAACCCAGCATCCAGTCAGTCAAGATGATTCCTGCAATCGAAAAATGAGTCTGGAAAAAAAGACAAAAGATCTAAAAAATTTCAAAAACTAGGACTAATTTACCTTTCTATGTGCTCGCCCGCAGATCCGTCCTCCCGTTTTCAATGCGTCGCTTCTAACTTTCAGAACTTGCCCCTCAAAATGATTAAGTAGATCGTGAACCTTCCTGCGCTTACAATCAAGGAATATATAAATGACTATACAAGTTGTTACAGGAGCAACTCGTTCTTCCGTCATTTTAGTGCATACGTTCCATTGACGTGATGTACACTAGCGTTCGTAGTATTTGATTTCGCTCCTTATCAGGTAAACAGAGAACTATGACTCATAGAGTAAAGTGATTATGTGGTCGACTGAACTGATGGCGGGATTGGAAATGGAAATTAAAAGTTTCTAAGACCTCGATAGAATGAACTTGCTTTGATGAATGAAGATAAATGGAAAGCTCCTACAATGAAAATATCAGCAGTACAATAGAACAAACGAACCACTACGCTGCACAAAATCGCGTCTTTTGATCTGTGGTGTTCGGTATATGAATTTCGACGAAGAAAGGAGGAAAAAAATTTGGCTGGTTCCAGAAAAACTTGAGTGGTGTACATTAAGAATAATTACAACTTGTTAGCATAGATTTATCGATTCTAAAACTCTATTTCAATCTACGCAGCCAGCTACAATTTGAATATTCTCAAGGTTTAAACCGCCATTATTTCCAAACTATTAGCATTGAAAGTGCGCATTGCCCGTTACACAGCTAGACCTATGCCTCGTGGAAAAGTTAGGAGCTTTATTTGATCAATCAGAGCTTCAACTATTTGAAACGATAATTTTTAAATCCTTTTCAGCGCGTAAACGCTACACGAAATTGGCAACGTAGCATTTCACATGTCATGAATTTTCGCAAGACTACCACGGTTTGAAACTCTGATCACCTAGTTGCAGGTCACCTACTAATTAGCAATCAGCGAATTAATAAACGGTGACATCAGTAATAGAAGAAAGAAAAGAAATGACAATAACACACCTAAAAAGCTCCTGCAATCACATTGCGGTGATTTGTGTGTCGAGCTTTTACGCTTTTGCTTCGATTATTAAAGCATAGTGAAATTTGAGCGTGGTCTTAAAAAAACGCTAGAAACGAAAGGTATGATATTTCATGAAATTATCAGTGACGTGACATGGGATCGCAGTGCGCATTATCATTCGTGGCGATCGTAACATTTCCTCATGTTTTTCTAACGTGTTTGGATCAGGAATAGCCTTAAAAATCTCATATATCATACTTCTTGATAACAAGAAAGGGATCGAAGAATTGTACGTAGCAGTCTTAAAAAGGCTTCAAACATTTCTACAGACTATATTGAACGCTTATAGCGAGATTTAAATTAGTCGATGATATGGACTTCTACATGTTTTTTACCAGCCGTAATCCAGCGATTGGAAGAAATGGTGATAACACAGTATGACGCGTCAACACTTTAACGTCTCTTCATCGCTGCTATAAAGTAAGTTTAATATGGCGAGTGAGCCACTGCTGAAGCGGACGACACCGCCAAAACAAACGTATAACTGTAACGTAACAACCTCGAAAAGACTCTAAACAATCTCACAGATCTAAACTTATGCTGTCACTGTAAGTTCCCATCGTGGTCGCGCGATCTTGCCACCTGTCATGCAAAATCAGTGGGTTTTCCAACGGGTTGATATACGCCTCAATCCGCAATGAAAGCGAAATCGCGCAGTGGACGATGATTCGGTGGTGAGAAAGTAAGGTGATAAGCAAGGTGGCGGCCCAATCCTCTTCGCCAACACTTTCTTGTGGCTTATTAATGGAGCTTTGAAGCAGCTTAGTTATTTCAAAAACTGCAAGAAAAATCTTATCGACCAGCAAACTTCAATGTTCATAAAGAGGCCATAATCTTCAACCTAAGTCAAACCAACACACGAAATGTCGCAGACCCTTGTTGACGACGAAACGAGTCGAATATGAGAAGGACTGCTATTCGCACAATAAACTGTGACGACGACTCATGTAGAATGAAATAGAAAATATCTGTGATTGGTGTCGAACAGCAGGACATGTCGAGCTTGATGCTTAGCAACATTAAATTCGAAAAAAATGGCAACAAAAATTTTGGCGATTCTATCAGAAACGAGTAACACAAAATGTGAGAAATGTCACCGTTTCATAGAAGTGAGAAGCTATAATAGAAGGCTTACTTGCACTCTGTAAGCAATAGCGTCGCTCTGTCAGTTTTTCAAGCTCGTGCTCGACAAATTTACTAACCGTGCGCTGATGAGCATCATCACCACACCAACAAAGATGTGAAGCGAGAATCTATTTGGAAAAGTAAAACAAAATCGGGAATCAAGGATTGCAATCTGGTATAGAGATAGAAATTATTTGTGGAAAAGTTTTCTGGAAAACAGTTTGGCATACTGACTCGGTCAAATGTGGAATCTCACTACGCACACGCGCTCTTCATGCACATCAAGGGTTGTGTAATATCTCCTGACTTTAGGTAGACCACACATGAAAAGGTGAACAACGTCCCTAACCCAAATGTGATAATAACTAAAATGCGCAACGAACTATAAGCGATGTACAAAGAAACTACAGATTAGAGGTGAATTCTCTCGGAGTTGATGAAACCCTGAAAAATGCGTCGTGCATTCGACATCATTAGCTATATTTTGAGGTGATGAATGCGTCTGTTATCTTCATAATAACTCCTCATGGCTTACTGATGTGCATTACTAAAGCTGCCATTCATGATTCTTGGACCCCAAGAAGTGGAACGCTGGTTGATCTGTTAATGGCGGAATTGAGCCACTGACCACGTGCACTTCGTGGTGCATCTCTGATCACTGCGCCACACGCGCTCCACGCAGGAAGAAACGTCAGTGCTGAGGGCACAACGTCAATGAAGCAAATTTCAAGCTAAGAACTCCACAAGATCGTTGCAACTCTCCTGTCCTTGCTTGCTGCTTCTGTTGTAGCATGACCCACGACCCAAAATGATGTAGCACAAATACATAGAAACAAAAAAGCTAGTGAGCTAACAGTCAGCGATCACGAAAGATTTACCTTAAGAGCCATTTCTCTTGACTGCTTCCGTTGTTTCAGCATCAGATTCATCAACTGCGATCCTTCACCGTCAAGAAATTTCTCGCGATTGACTGGCAACATAAGAACGTTGCACAATGCATCAAATAGATTTCACGGATCCTTTCGCTCATCAAGGGTCTCATTATCGAGCCTCTTATATGAGGCCAAAGACGAATATTTTTTGCATAGCATCAAAATTTGTCTACATAGAGCTCCTTTTGAAGTGAGTAACATTACTGTGAGATGGTATCTTTTCTAGAAAACGGCGACTAGAGTTTAGGTAATTTTACCTTTCTCAGAGCAGCTAAATTATCTGCCTAGATGGAGGAAGTACTAGTGTGTTGCCGCATACTATAAATTAACTATTGATGAGTGTTAAATAATATTAATTTACTCATAGTGTGAGACATCACACCAGTGGCTTAGTGGTAAATCACTTATGAAAGGTAGCTGCAGTTTGAAAAATTTTTTGAACCTTCCCCTTCAAGTTACAGTGGGGGGTGAGAGAGGTTAGCGGCTCTGAAGAGAGCAGAATCGCCGAAACGTTTCTTTTCGTTCCTCGAAGAAGA